CGTTTGAACTATTTTCTAATTTCCTTTTCATAGTTCTTTAACATGTGGGTTACTTAGAAGAATGCTACTTAGTTTCCATATATCTGTTTTTATTTATTTATTTATTTATTTATTTATTTAGCACCGGGAATTGAACTCAGGACCTTGCACTTGCCAGGCAGGCGCTTGTGCCACTGAGCTATATCCCCAGCCCCTTTATATCTGCTTTTAAAAGAAAAATTTTTTTGAGACAAGGTCTTGCTCTGTAGTTGGGCTTACCTGGAACTCCCTATATAGGCCAGACTCACCTGGAACTTGAAATCTTCCTGCCTCAGCCTCCCAAGTGCTGCAATTATAGGCATACTCTACCATGTCCCATTTCAATTCTTTAGATACTTTCATTGTTTTCTAATTAAATTTTAATATGATTGGAGAACATACTTGTTTCATTTTATGACAAATCTAATCTATGTTGGTAAATTGCGCTTGAAAAGAATTTGTTTTGTTTTTTTTTTTAGGTTTTTAAAGACAGGGTCTCTCTATATTGTTCATTCTGGTCTTAAACTCTGTATGTAACCCAGGCTGGCATCTTACCTTGAGCAGCAGTCCTCCTGCCTCAGCCTCCCAAGTGCAGAGATTATAGGGATATGCCCCCCAGCTAAGAATATGTATTTTAATATTGTTGGATGGAATATTCCATAAATGTCAGCTAGGTCAAGTTAGTTGACAGTGTTCTTCAAGTCTTCTGTGTCTTTATAGATTTTCAGTTTTTTTGCTCTATCAATTTTTGAGAGTGGAAAATTATGATAATATCTGTGCAATTTAATCAGCACTTGCTTTACATATTTTGAAGCTCAATTATTAGTTACGTAAACATTTAGATTGCTGGTCTGTGGATAAACCGACTGACCCACATCAATATCATGCAATGATCGCTTTAACTCTGGTAATATTCCCTGCTACAGAATCTACTTTGACTGATTTCTTACTTTGATTGATATTAATACAGCCACTATAGCTTTCTTAAAATTAATATTAACAAGATATATAGCTGTCTTCACTCTTTGAATTTTAACCTAGCTCTCCTTACAATGACTATCCTTACAATGCATGTGTTAATGTCCTGGATTACTAATTCTATCGTCATTGTCATACTGGGTGTTTTGATTATTTTTTTCTTCTGGTTGTGTCTTCCGGTTGTGTCTATGAATACTGGCTGCAGAACATGGTAAGTTTATGTTACTGAGCGGGGGTGTGGTGATTTCTTGTGTGTGTGTGTGTGTGTGTGTGTGTGTGTGTGTGTTGTTTGTTTTTCTTCCAGTACCAGAAATCAAACTCATGACCTTGCGCTTGCCAGGCAAGCGCTGTGCCGCTGAGCCACTGAGCTAAATCCCCAGGCCCCTGGTGTGGTGATTTCACGTCCTTTTCATTCTCTTCATTGCTTTAGGATTTTGCTCTCATGATGCCAGAGCGCCCAAAAATCAGCCAGCAGAGCAGTGCTAGGACATGAAGGAATTTTCAGTAGCTCTCAAAGAAAGTAGAAAAACAAAAACAGTGTGCTTTTCGTTTAACTGATTTTTTTTTTTTTTTGTCTTTTTGAGACAGGGTCTCGCTATGCAGTTCAGGCTGGCCTTGAGCTCACTTTGTAGCCCAGGCTGGTCTCAAACTTGCAGCAATCCTCCTGCCTCAGCCTCCTGAGTGCATGCGCCACCACGCCCGGCTTTTTACCTGATTTAAAAAGCATCTTTTGAGACCTTGCCCATCTTAATTTTATGTGAAAACAAATGTTTGCTTATAGTGTTGCTAGCTGAGAGATGTTACTTATTTGACCTGCTAAAAGTCAGGTCCTGTCAGTGCCTACAAATTGTTTTTGACATTTTGCTGGAGTGTAAATGTCAATGTCTGAGCAGCCCTGCCCACTCTCTGTCCACGTTTTTTGAATACATGAATGGGGCGTTTTAAGGCACTCTCAAATTGGATCAGTGCCCCGTGAGGAAGGGCAGGGAGAATTCAAAGGACCTAAAAAAGAAAGACCATTCTCGAAAATGACTGGATTGAGTTTCTTTGAATAACTATGCTTGGAACAGTGCCGTCCTGTTTTGCCTTCTTCTCTGGACAGCCTGATCGCACACTCTGCCCATGTAAGGGAAATTGACCTCGGGAACAATGCCCTGGGAGAAACGGCTGCTGCTGCTGTCCTTGGAGCCCTGAGAGCCAGGAAGACAGGTAGTGTGCCTCCTGTTCGTGGGTTCCCCTCCGCCTGCAGTATCCGCTCACTCCTGAACCCTGTGCTATGCACGATTTGCTCTGCTTTATTTTTTAAAAATGTAAATAACAAGCCTGCAGTATGTGATGACCAGGAGCATCGTTACAGGCTGGAAACCGTTGTATCGTTATGCCCAGTGATTTGCAGAAGAGTTCAAGAACTTTTACGATGCTGTATGTAGCATCTGAACTCAGTAATGACTTTTTTAAGAGATAGACACTCGCTGTGTTGCCACATGCTTGCCTTATCTGTCCCAGTAGCTGGGACTACCGGCAGATGCTACTGAGCCTGGCTAGTAATTGGTCTCTTTAAAGTGAATTTTTGCAGCCGGGTGTGGTGGTGCACGCCTGTAATCCCAGCACTCGGGAGGCTGAGGCAGGAGGATCACTGCAAGTTTGAGACCAGCCTGGGCTACAAAGTGAGCTCAAGGCCAGCCTGAACTGCATAGCCAGCCCCTGTCTCAAAAAGACAAAACAACAAAGCAAAACAAATAAAGTGAATTTTTCTCCACTGCTTTTTATTTTTTGTCTTCTCTCATCCTTGTTTATTCTCTAAGAAATTCTTCTTCCTTCTCTATTCTTCTCGAGCCTAACCTTCACCAGTTTTTCCAGCTATGAATTAGAAAACTGAAGTAACAGCCCTTATAAGATCACGATGCGCTTTCTGTATCATCAAAGACTGGTTATGTTGTGATTGGCGCGGGGGCAGCATTAGGGGAACATTCTGATCCTGCAACCCTTTGGAATAAGAGAATCACACACGGAATCATTCTCTTTCACAAGTGTGCATGACCAGAATTAATGGTGACTGGTCTGCTTAAAAAGAGGAGGTGAAGAAATGTCATTTAAATGCAGCTCAGTAAACATCATAGACAGATTTGAAAATGAAATTCAATGTTAAGAAAAGTGGAGGAAGGTCGGTGCATTCTGCGGCAAGTCAGGTGGAAAGAATTAAGTAGCGTAACCACCATGGTCGTGGTCTTAGAGGCTGGCACAAGTATGGGTCGCAGTTTTCTTTTTATGCCAACAGCGTTTTCGAGAGAATTATAATAATATTATTGTCTGCTGCATTGCCACTCTTTTTTTTTTTCCTCAGTGCTAGGGATAGAGGTGTCATGCATGCTAGACAAGCACTGCACCTGAGTTCTATCCCCAAGCCTTTTTATCTTGAGACAATGGCTAAATTGCCCAGGTTGGTCTTGAACTTGAGATCCTCTTGCCCTGGGTCCCCAAGTAGCTTGGATTACAGGTGTTGCTCCCATGGAGAGCTTATATTGCCACTTTTTTTTTTCCCTGTCTTTTTGAGACAGGTTCCCACTATGCAGTTCAGGCTGACCTTGAGCTCACTTTGTAGCCCAGGCTGGTCTTGAACTTGTGACAATCCTCCTGCCTCAGCCTCCCGAGTGCTGGGACTACAGGCGTGTACCACCACGCCTGGCTTATATTGACACTTTTAAAACAGAAACTATTGCATTTTTTGTTTTTTTTTTCTTTGTTTGTTTTGGTTTTTTTGTTTGTTTGTTTGTTTTTCCTGGTACCAGGAATCAGACTCACGACCTTGCGCTTGCCAGGCAGGTGCTGTGCCGCTGAGCTAAATCCCCAGCCCCGACTATTGCATTTTTAATGGTCAATCAAATGATTCCAAGATTTTGCAATTATCCTTCTATTTTAGAAACAGAACATCTACTTCCTGTTTCATTAGAGTTGAATTGAAATTAAACAGAATTACTCTGTTACATTTAATTCAAATTTAACTCTAATTTAAGCTCAATAAATAGCAGGCGGGTTAATGATTTCATTTTGTTTTCCCTGGCACCATCACGGCTTTTTCATTTCATGCAGCAGCAGAAGACATCACAAGGCTGCAGACCATCTCTGACCTTTACTGTGGTGAACGTAATGATGGGGGTAAAACCATTACCACTGGGTGCGTGTTTGGCACTGGAAATCATCCCATGTGCTTGTAACTGGTTTAATTTGCATCAGTGAGAAAATGATGGGGGCTGGGGATTTAGCTCAGTGGCACAGTGCCTGCCTGGCAAGCACAAGGTCATGAGTTCGATTCCCAGTACCGGAAAAAAAACCAAAAAAAAAAAAAAAAAAAGAAAATGATTATGAAATACCCACCTGAAAATACAAACAAGCATAAAAAATAAGTAAGAGTTCAATAAACTTTTTTCTAACCTTAGTAGTATAAATGCAAGAGAATACATGTATCTCTTGAACTGAAATAATTATGGGATGGCTCTGAGGGAGCGTGTCAACCAGACTGTTAGTTTGGATACTGCTGAGGTAGAGGCCTCGGAACAGGGTTAATTGGTTGGATTCCACAGAGAAAATCACTTGCTGCTTACCCTTCACAGCATCATTTTAAGCATTAAAAGCAATCAGAAACAGCACTGGTTAAAGGGCTATTTGTCTACTGAGTATTTCTGTATCCTCATTATTTGCAAGTTAACAAGCTAATTTGGAATTGTAATCTTCTGTGAAATCCAGATTAACAACCTGAGGTCACTTATTTGCCTACAAAGAAATTCTGTTATTTTGTTTTGTTTGGCTTTTTTTCTTTTTCTTTTTAGACAGGGTCTCTATGTAGTTTAGGCCGTCCTCGAACTTCCAGAGATCTTCCTGTTTCAGCCTCCCAAGTGCTGGGATTACAGATGTGCACAACCGTGCCTTGTGTCAAGGAGTTCTTAGGGGCTGGGGATTTAGTTCAGCAGCACCCCGCCTGCCTGGCAAGCGCGAGGTCGTGAGTTCGATTCCCGGTACTGGAAAAAAAAAAATAAAATAAAATAAACAACAAAAAAGGAATTCTTAATGTCTCACCTCCAATGATGGAAAACCCAAAACAGGCTCAGAAGTGTTAAGAACCAACCCATCCAAGGGAGTTGTCTCCAACAACAAGAAATGTCGTAACTATTTATATCCTTCCTCTGCTCAGGTAGACTACCCGTCCTAAAAATTACGGTCACTCCCCAGATCTCTTCAGACACCTTTAGATCTATTTGGAAAAATAGCAAGAAATCCAGTACTACCTACAAAAAGAAGAAAAAGGCACGGTCTAGGGTGTCTGTGTTGGTGAGTGAAATCCACCAGGGGGCGCCGCATGGGGTAGATGGCGCCATTGGCTGCAGATTTCACACTTAAAACAAAAATTTAGGATCTAGGTCACACTCCCCTAGTCATTGTTACATTCATACGCATGCTGATTCTATCAAGAGACAAGTAGTAAGAGAACAACAACCTTCCCTGAAAGACTAGTGCAAGGCCGGCCTCCCCTTTCGGTCCTCTCCACAACCTGAGTCCTAGCTCTTACCTGCCTATGGTGGATCTGAGGTTCACTTACACTCTTTACCAAGCTTGCACCACCTCTTGGGAGGCAGTGATTTACGTCTGTTCGTGCTGTACTTTGTGAGGTTGAATTTTTTCCTTTTTTTAATTTATAATTTCCTGTTCCTTATTTCACAGGCTAAAAACTGAATGCAGATGCCTCTTTCCCTATGGAGGTCATTTATTCCCACAGCCAACAAGACTTGTTTGGAAAGACTTTGCTTGTCCTGCAGTAATATTTTTCTTTATAACCAACCCCCTCCCCACTCCCCTTTTTTTTGAGACAGGGTTTCGCTCTGCAGGTCAGGCTGGCCTTGAGCTCGCTTTGTAGCCCAGGCTGTCCTCAGACTCGCAGTGATCCTCCTGCCTCAGCCTTCCAAGAGCTGGGATTATAGGTGTGCACCACCATGCCCAGCAACCAACCCCTTTTTAAACTCTAAAATTTGATAAGCCTATTTTATGAAAGTTTAAAGTTTGTTAATCCAGTGATACTTGTTGTTCTCAAAAATGTATAGAAGTCAGTTTTTATAAATTGTGCATGTGAAATACATGATTTGAGGAAGTCACATTCTTTAACTTTTTTTTTTTTTTTTGTCTTTTTGAGACAAGGTCTCCCTATGTAGCTCGGGCTGGCCTTGAGCTCACTTTGTAGCCCAGGCTGGTCTCGAACTCACAGCGATCCTCCTGCCTCAGCCTCCCGAGTGCTGGGATTACAGGCGTGCACCACCACGCCCGGCTCTGAAGTCACATTCTTTATCAAAGACTCTTCCTTCATAAATAGGCCTTTACTTGTGATCAATTGGATGTTTGGAAATAATAACCATTTCTTAAAAGACAACATCCCTAAAAATTGGACTCTCCCCCCAATGAGGAAACCTCTAATCACTCCGTCCCTCCATGAACAAGACAGCCCCATGGGAAACAGGAGAGGTGTGGCGGATAGGTGTAAGAATGACAAACTGACTTAGCTGAGTTTTATATGAAACCCATGCTGCAGACGTGAGCAGCACACACTGGGGATTAGATATGCCAGAGTTCTCTGCGGAGCAACTGTGTTTTCCAGATCTGTGACCTGGGCCAAGTCTGCTAACCTTACTGTGAGACTCAGTTTCCCCTGTGTAAGAGAAAAATAAAAATAGCACCTAACGCATTTGGTGAGTTTTGTATGAGGTGTCATATGTCAAGGATTTAGGACGATATATTGAACACTCATTCAAAAGTAAATATTAGGGACTGGGGATTTAGCTCAGTGGCACAGGGCCTGCCTGGCAAGTGCAAGGTCGTGAGTTCGATCTCCGGTACTGGAAAAAAAGCCAAAAAAATAAAATAAAACAAATAAATAAAAAAAGTGAATATTAGTGGCTTTTATTACATTAGTGTTAGGACTGTCACTGTCTCACTTATGATGTAAGAGAAATAGAAAAGAAAAAAGAGCCTGGCGTGGTGGCACAGGCCTGTAACCCCGGCACTTGGGAGGCTGAGGCAGGAGGATCACTGCAAGTTTGAGACCAGCCTGAGCTACAAAGTGAACTCAAGGCCAGCCTGAACTGCATAACCAGACCCTGTCTCAAAAAGACAAAAAAAAAAAGAAAAAGAAAATAGGAAGACTTTAAACCTCCTTATTTTGATGCAAAAACAGCAAACTTCATTCTTCTGTGTACAAACATAGCCCTGGGGGCATCAGGACAAATTTTATGAAAGGAGCATTATATTGGGTATATATGCCATATTTATTTTTTTGGAAGTATTTCTACTGATGAATTATTAATCTTAATTTTATGAGTTTTAGTATATTAAACAATGTATACTTAACAGGAAAATAAAAAATCAATCAAATGAAATATTAAATTTTTAATATGTAATGAGTGTTTAGATTAAAAAAACAACATTTTTAAAATCAACTGTTTACCTGCTTACAAGATCTAAAAAAAATAACAGTAGAAACAAAAAATAACAGTAGAAATAAAGTCCTATCTGAACTACAAAGAAAATACAAACAAGGGCTGGGGATTTAGCTCAGTGGCACAGCGCCTGCCTGGCAAGTGCAAGGTCATGAGTTTGATTCCCGGTACTAGAAAAAAAAAAAGAAAATACAAACAAAACTCTACCACAGAAATAATTTTTGCTGCAATTATCACACCTAAGTCAGTCTTCAGGGCCAGTGATATAGCTCAGCAGCACAAGCCCCTGTCTGGCAAGCACAAGGTCCTGAGTTCGATTCCTGGTACCAAAAAAAAAAGTCTTCACCCACCAGAACAGCATGTTCCACGCACAAGCACTGCTTACACTGATCGCACATGTGTGTTTGTCTCCCTGTCTTGTTTGGTGGGGCGGACTTGACATCTTGCTGGTCTTCCTGTTTTCTAAGAAGGTTCTGGTGAAGTTTCACCTGTCTGTTCACCAGTCTGCTCCAGAGATCTTTTGCGTTCTTTGGGCCGATACATGCTCCTCTTCCCCTGTTGTAACTGAGCATTTATCAGTTCCAGCCCCAATCCCCTAAGAAAATTTCCCCATGATATTTTGTGCTTGTTATTTTCTTTGTAAACTGTGAAACTATTTATGTCTCACATGTTTAGACTTAAGTAAAACACAAATCGCTGACCAACACTTTGTGTTTCAGGTGACATCCGGTTGCTATGTAACTTGTCAACATCTGCCCTGCCTTTCATTTTGTTGTAAAATGTGACCATTCCTGGCTTCATTTGTGTTGAGGATTCACTATCAATCTTTGTTTGTTTGTTTGTTTTGAGACAGGCTCTTGCTATGTAGTCCAGGCTACCCTTCAACTCACTGTGTAGTACAGACTGACCTTGAATTTACAAAATCACCCTGCCTTAGCCTCCTGCGTGCTGGGATTACAGGTGTGCACCAGTACACCCGGCTCACATCTTATGATCATGGTGTAATGTCGACACTATCAATACTGCTTTGTTTTTCTTCAACATGCAGGAGGGCTGGGGATTTAGCTCAGCGGCACAGCGCCTGCCTGGCAAGCGCGAGGTCATGAGTTCGATTCCCGGTACCGGAAAAAAATAAAAATAAAAAAAAAAAAACATGCAGGAGGCCATTGTTACATCTCTCTGAAATCCAAAGCGTACAGTATACATTTCTCTGTTGTGATGCTGCAACGTTTTTTCAGGAATCTCAGCTTTGTTCTTGGGTGTAGTTCCTGCGCTGGTCACATGGTGTTCTTTTAGCAAATGTAACATCAGTGGATGCCTAGTGAACCAACTGTTGAATGTGACATTCGAGTTACTTTTGGAAATAGGTGCGAGTCTGTTCGCGAAGTCATACGGTTTATTACAGCACAGTACAGGCCTGGTGGCTGAGTCCCAGAATAAATTTCTAAATTCAAGGTGTAAAATGTCTTTAGACCTCCCAGGGCATATATTTTCATGTCATATTTGGAAGGTATACTTGGCATATAATGCTGAAAGCGTCAACAACCACGACATGGTACAAGTCGTTCATCAACTGTCAGGTATTCGGGGTATAAGTTGCTTGACGCTTCAGAATAAAGCTTTCAAAAATGCAAACAGCAGCCACACTGTCGGATTTTTTCTTTGTTGGTGGGTCTTTTTGTTATCCAAAAACAATTTTGAAGGCAATTTTGAAAGAAACCAAATCTCTTGTCACTTTGTTCTAAAAAGCTCAACACCATATCTGTCATTTCTCCATACATCTTTATATTCTATTTTTATCTGTTTACAGTGCTTTTTTTTTTTTTTTTTGGTACCGGGAATTGAACTCAGGACCTTGTGCTTGCCAGGCCAGTGCTTGTGCCACTGAGCTATATCCTCGGCCCTAAGTCTTTACATTCTGATGATTAGAATGATAAAGTCCTGCTGTAAAGACTTTCAGTTCAGATAGTGAGGAGTCATAAGTGTATTTTTAAGTATTACCAGTGATGCATATAGAATGTTTTCTTACACTTCACTATTAGTGTATTTCAAAACATCCTGTAGCATATCATTTGTTACAAACAATTTCCTACATTGAACCACACTGCTGGCATTCCATCCAATAGGTTTCACCCCTGGCGAGAACTTAACATTTTCTGACTTAGTTCTAACATGGGATCACTTAGATATACACAACCATTTTGTAGCACTTTGAGTAGTAAAATATATATTTACTTTATGTTTTCTTCCTCATCTAAATCAAGGTCTTCATTTTGTACTTCTCTGTCTATCATCTCTGTCATATCTTGCTCTCTTTTTTTTTTTTTTTTTTTTTTTTTCCCCGGTTCGAACTCACGACCTCACGCTTGCCAGGCAGGCGCTGTGCCACTGACCAAAAAACTGGCTACTGCAGTTCCTGAAACAG